GGTTTTATTTCTCAAGAGCAGACGTTCAACATGGTGGGTGGTAAGAAGGTCAAATCTAGTTTTTAATTCCACCCTTTTCTTGTATAGGTTTGGACACTTATTCTGGGCATATTGCTTATCGATAATTCCAATTTGGCGGACCAGCTCGTTACATTCCCTTTTTGAGTCACTCCTCATACGCGCAGTGTAAGAGATAATTTGTCCACGCAAATAGGCTTTGAGTGCATCCCACAAGGTGAGATAAGAAATTTCTGGAGTGGTATTAGTTTCAATAAAATGGATTATTTCTTTCTCAATAAACTTATTAAAGTTTGCATCTGATAAAAGAGTAGAATTGAATCGCCACTGCCTACTTCCAGGGCTAAAACCAGGGAAAGACATAGCTAATATAAGAGGGGCGTGATCAGAAATTACAATAGGCTGGTATTCACAAGAGTGGACCAAGGGAAGAAGTTGATCGTCAACAAAAAAGTAATCAATTCTGGAATATGTGTGATGAACTTGTGAGAAGAATGAGTACTCCCTGTGAGTAGGATGCAGGAAACGCCAGATGTCACTGATACCAAATTCAGAGAGGAAGTCACGGACGAGACTGGCTGACCTACTGACTGAGCTGGGGTTTTTTGAAGATCGGTCTAAATCAGGGTCTAACCAACAATTGAGATCCCCTCCAAAAATAAGAGAGTATGTATTTAGGTCTGGCAGCAAAGAAAACACTTGTTTGAAAAAATCTGCGTCGTCCACGTTTGGGGCGTACACATTGACTAACGCTACCAGCGTATTATATAATTTACCTGAGACAATCACATACCGTCCATATTTATCTGAAACGACATTATGAGGTTCAAATGGAACATCATGACCAATAAGAACTGAGACGCCCCGCGCCTTAGCCTCAAAAGATGAATGAAAACATTGACCTGACCAGCGAGATAACAGACGTTTGGAATCAGAGCTACGAATATGGGTTTCTTGTAAGAAAGCTATCTTGATCCTGAGGTGTTTGAGATGAGAAAAAACCTTCCTCCTTTTAACAGGGTGATTTAAACCCTTAACATTCCAGCTCATTAAGTTGAGATGGTTAATCATACTGCATGATTAGGAAAATATAGTCAAAACTGATTGCAGAGACCCAGTGAGTGGAGCAATAAAAAGTGACCAGCACTTTTTTAAGACTTTTAAAGCGTACTAAAGCATTGACAGTGACATATACCCCCTCCCCACCCTCCCAAACCAAGACAGCCGCCAAAACAAGCAGCAGCAAGCTCTGTAACATAAACATCTCACATCAACTCCTCTTCCAAGTTCTAATAAGCAATTAAAGCTACAGCCCCGGCCTATAAAAAGAAAAACAATAGCACCTCAAGAAAAGAGAAAATGCAACCTTTAAATGGGGATAAATAACAGTATGCATATTTAACTCAGGGCCGAAAAAACAGTGGAATGTAACTAGAAATTATTAAACGTTTGTACGTAGATCGGGATGCTCGAAAAACACGCACCAACAGTACCAAAACTACTCGAAACATTACCGTAAAGCAACACCACCCGTATGTTACGCGTCTTCACATGATGAAAATAAGATGAAGCAATATCACCTAGAATGACGCTGGTTGTGAAGGAGGCAGCAGTGAGTCCTGTAAAAGTAATTCTGGGTCCTGTTGAAATCCAAACACTTTTCACGACTGACCGGATAGTTCAGAGTGCTGGTCAATATACTTTTGGGCTTCATCGACGGTGCTGAGCCACTTTCTGGCTCCGCCGGGCAGCGTTATGCGTAGTCGGGCTGGGTACAGCAGAGCCGGCTTCAAACCCCGCTTATACAGTTCCGCCATCACGGTCCGGTACTGGGCTCGCTGACTCACAATTTCAGCGCTGTAGTCCTCAACGATACGGATCTGTTGGTCGTTGTAAACGAGTTTCCCTCTGCGCCGTGCTTCTCTGATGAGTAGCTCCTTCGTCTGGTAGCGGTGCAGGCGGAGAATAACAGGTCGCGGCTGCTCTCCAGCAGCCGGCTTGGGAGCTAGCGAACGATGGGCTCGGTCTACTTCAGGTAGGGACGGTAAAATATCCTTTCCATATACTTCCTGAAGCAACCGTGAGAAAAACTCGGTTGGGTGACCGCTCTCCGTAGATTCAGCCAGTCCAAGGATGCGTATGTTTTGACGCCGGCTACGGTTCTCCAAATCCGTAACTTTAGCCTTTAGCTTAGCATTCTCGTCCCGGAGAAAGGAGCAGGCATTCTCCAAATCCATAACGCGCTGGCTTAGGTCTTCAGATGCGAGTTCGAGTGAAGAAATGCGTTGGTCGTGATCGTCCAAAGACGTTTTGTTTTGGTCTAACTTAGAGTCTATCGCATCAAAAGATGACTTGAACTCCTCAGACAGCTTTTCGCGGTGTTCCTCAAGTAGCTCTTTAATGGCGTCAAGTGTTAAGCTAGGCTCAGCTTTAGCCTCCCCCTTTTCGGTAGTTTTCAGTCCTTTAGGCGGCATCTTAATCCCAGTTACAGGTCAGGTTGCAAAAGAAAAAGAAAAATGTATAGCAAACCCCAAAAAAGTACACAACTTATAAGGTATGAGGGCTGAGTGGTATGAAAAGATAAAGAGACGGCCGGAGCGCTCTCACCACGCGTCTACACCATTTGCCTACCAACCGGAACTCCGGCCATGTTCAGTTTTAACCAAAATTGTGAAAAGCTTTTAGGGAATAATGTATTGCATTTGTCCTCACGGACATGTTTATCCTTTTAACTTGTTGGCAAACTGCTCAGGCTATTCTAGTTTATCATTTTCAGCATAACAGTTAATCCGTTTCTTTTTCTCTAAACTCTGAAAAAAGTTTTCTCTGCTGCATTAAAAATTAAACTACTCATATATGATCCAAATTCGACGTAGATGTAGACGTGGATGTTTGATTTGTTTGATTTTTGCTGTGCTTGTAAAAATGACATTGAGGATATACTACCTATTTAGTCAGGCAGAAACTCCCACCTGCTTCTTGTGTAATATTTAAATATATTAATTGTAACTCGATTACAAACGCATATTGTTCAATCTGCCTTCATAAGAAATATAAAGTCACATTCCATCACCGTTTTTAAAATCAGAAAAATCTGCAGTACAATTGCCTTGAGGAAAATGACTGGCTGTGCATGTCATAAATCTAATGATCTTGTAAATGATGTATTAAACAGAAGTATGTCTGAATGGAACTGTTGAGCTGCTGGAACGTTATGATGGATGGCAGTGGTAGTTCACCTAATTAATAGTTACAATAATAATAACTCATGTGGCTTCACACATTTGTCCATAAATTCACAGGAAGCACTCTCACTTTGCAGACAGAGACAAATCAGCAGCTGTTTCTGTTAAGTTGCACATGAAACCTAAAGTTCATGTGCATAAATTTCTTCCAAGACATTAGGGACCTGAGTTCTCTGCTGTAGGTCGGAGTCCTGTACTGTTTTTCTTGTGTTCATTTTGTGAAGTGACAGCAAACATTCCAGCCTGGAGTGAGTTATGCTTGACATCCTAAACTACGTCCAAAACTTTTGGTAATAATCGGTCACAAGGGGACAGACCATGCAGGCTAGAGGGCAACATCTTTTTTCATCCAGTGAAAGGACTAATTATTAACAGTGATTGTTGAAGGAATGATTTAACTCCCATGAACTAGGTATTAATTCACAATTTCAACACATGGGAATACTGACAAAAAAGAGGTGGATATTATTAGAATTATCGTTGGATATTATGGGATGGTTGCTTTTGTGCACATAAATATCCAGATACAATGTTTCTTTTGAGTGATTGACACAAATCAACCTTTTTTGAACCATGCAAAAGCTAGAATTGACTAAAAAGGAGAATCCAAAACTCTGCGATTACAATTTGGACTATTTAAAATGTTTATTCTTACTTAATTTCACACACAAAAGTCCTGTACTTCTCATATTTTCTTTAGATATTCAATCCCAACAAGATTCTCCTTATCCTGAAATAAATAATTATTTAAAATATCATAAGAATATATCAAAAATATTTCTGCACCCATTCCAATTAGTTATTCTTATAAGTTGTAATCAAGAATCATTAAATTTGAATAAGCTTAATTCTGTGAAATCAGCACTGAAGACACAATGAGGACAATGTCTGTAGGTGACTCTCCCTCCGGCTTTCGCCATACTGTTAAACTCAATGCATTCCTACAATAAAAAAAGGAAAGACCACACTATTTCAATCAATGGGTTACACCTGAAAAATCCTAAAAGCATCTCTGTGCCATCCGAGAGAGCTGTCAAACTCATCATTAAGCTCAATGATTCATTTCCATCACAGTGCTTTGACCTGAGAAATACGACATCTGCAGGCAAGCTACACTGAAGTTGATAATGAGAAGGAAAATATGTGAATGTTAGGGATGAGAGGATAGCAGAATGAAGAGGATGAAATAAAATATGAAGCACAGGACGAGAGGAATCCTGAAAAGATCGGCAAAAAATAAAGGATCTCTACAGACAAAGGAGGATGAAAGAGTAAATACCAAAGAAAAAATGTTTATCTGAATGTCACAGTGATTAGAGAGAAAAATCAGTTCATTCAGGAAAAACAAAAGATTGGTTTATCTAGCAAAAATAAGGTGGATATAAATCAGGATAGCTGGCTTTGACTGTAAGATTACATGAATGTTTAAAACAATACTGCTTAGTCTGAATGCTTCAACAGACTTAAACATCTGAAATAAGACACTTCTTACCCACAAGACTCCCAAAACAAAACTTCACATCAATTTACACATCAATGTTTTTTTTGTTTTAAAGTCCTTTAATAATTGACAGTTGGGAATATTTGTGTTCAAAGATAAATCAATCCAAAACTTAATATGTGAATAGTGTAAACACAAAAATTTAAGGTCATTTCAGTGAGTCCAAAATCAACAACCAAGGCGGCTTCTGTGTAATATCATTATCTGGAGAGGCTTTTGGCTTCTAAGATTTCCTTTCATCCCAGATGATCCTCGTATTGCTTACGAAAACAATCTCCCACAGGAAAGAATTCCCAGCAACGCTCCTGATACATTTTCCATACATAGGATTCCTGGAAAATTCAACATAATTTGGTCATATATCTTAAAATCATATCAAAACTGTATATTAGCTGATAATGATTTAATTTGAGTATTAAAACAACTGAACAATCCACAGAAAATCTATCTGAATATGTATTTTCATTTATTTTTCCTGTCTAGAAAAAGAAACACCAGAAAAAAAAACATTTAACTAATTCCACCAAGCAGCTTCTCTTTTATCTCAGAAGACTGGACCACTATATGAAAAGTCCGAAGAAGCAATTAGATTTGGAAATAGTACACAAATGTTAAGAATGTTGGCTGAATAAATTTTTTTTCAATTATATTGGGTCAAATTGGGTGCCAAAATCCAAATTGTAAAGTATTAAAATAAAACAATCGTTCTAAGTCTGAACACATTTTGAATTAAACACATTATCTCGTCTTAGGCACATCCGTTTCATGAATAACAATAAAGAGTGACACAATGAAAAGCAACTAAAAAGATTCTTTGTACCAACAAAATACAATTAAACCTACAATCTAAACCCCCTTTTTACTTGTAAAACATAAACAAAACAGGATTGTGTGGGAAAAAAATGGAGAGTGTTATAATGAGGGGTCAAACTGGTATGCTTTTAATCATTAAAGGGGAATACCAAGGGTGACATGACTTTTGAGAGACAGTGTGGATGCAAATGTGTTCTTATTTGAAAAGGTTACACTACAGGTTTGTCATTATCATGGAAATGCTAGAATTAATAGGTCACAGAGACATGAGAAAGTGCTGCGGCTGCATATATTATGGATGTGATCTTTCAATGACAGACAAATTGTTTAGGAGCGACTAAAGTGCCCTCCTAATTCTTGTCTTGACTGGATCAAGCAGAACGACACAAGGCATAATTTTCATACCTGACCTGTGTGTTCGGTTTCGTCTTTGTTGATCAGATACATGAGAAAAAACCTGCAGTGGCACAGAAGAGAAAAAAAAGGTTCAGTTTTAAATCTCATACTTCAAAATAGCATGGAGGAGAAAACATTTGTGTTAAGGCAATTTGAAATCAAATCATTTCACATTTGCAATCTTGTGATGTTATTTTTCTCATTCTTATTTTAAACTTTTGTCAGTCTTCAGTGGTAGTTTGAAGATGATTTGGGTGTCTTTTAATGGCTCTTCATTTTCCATTTGTGTGTTTGTGATTTTCCAATAGCAGCTTCTGATTTCTGCCTGCTTGTTAGATTTAATTTAATTGACATAATTTACATTTTAAGACTGAATGTTTTTTGCACGTTACTTTAACACAAGGTCCTGGTTTGAATCTGCCATAAACGCGATCACTTTTTCAAGAGGTTTGAGTTGGAAGAAATAAACATGAAACTATCTCCATAATTTCATTTGAAGAACTGATTCCAAAATGAGCATATAAAAACTCTGTTAAGCAGCCAATATGACAAATTGTTATGAGACTTAAACAGTGAAGACTTAACGGCAGGTTTAAACATTCTCTAGTTGTTGTTGTTCGCAGGCGTTTAATGGCATTTCAAGCAGTCAGTTTGAAAAGCTTCATTAAGTAAAGATAGACAAGAGAGTCCATAAAAGTGTGAATCGACTCACAGATAGTTGGCCAAGTTGTGCTCCTGCAGAGTGTGAGTTTCAAAGCCATGAGGGGTGGTGTCAAAGTACTCACTTCCCATCCCACATATAAAGCATTTGGTCTGCAGAGATGAGATGGAGGATGTCATTATTTGTGAAACACATGTATAAGAATAGAATGGGGTACATGAGAAATGATCAGTTCAATCAAAAACCTGAAGAGCAAATACCTCTATTGCTATTTAAATCTACATGATAATAAAGTTTTGGGGTACAAAAAATACTAATAATACTTCTTTTAATTGTGTTACATCTTTTTCACACTGGTCCATTCAGCTTTTAATTATAAATTGTTTTTTGATTTATTGCAATATGCAGAGTCTGTTAGGTCACTGGTATTTAGAGATACAGTGTGGGAACAGCTGGACCCAGTTATCTTACTGTGCTGAAAAAGCTGTTGAATCCAGAAAAAAGGATGTTGTTTTTATATGCACAGTGATACACAGAACATGAAAGCACACATGAATGACTTGTCGTAAAAGACATGACAAAATTATACCATCTGTTAACATGATGCAGTGCTGCTCATCAACATTTCAAAGCCCCTGCTTGTTTCTCATCTGTTTCGCCTTCAGCAATGTGTGAAACACTCTGGCTTTGCTTGAATTCCTTTTGAATTTCTTTCACTGTTCACTGAACATGGCTCAGAACTGTGTTTCATTTCATATATTTTTCAATGAGAATTCAGAGGGACAGATGCAGACGGGGAAGAGTCACACAAATGTCAAAAACCATTTGTGTTGTGCATCAGATGACATCATACATTGAGTTCATAAAGCTGAACAAGAACTAACCACGGTCAGACCATTCTTACTGCTGATTACTTGCCTGCCTCTTTTTCTCATCTGATTGTGACAAAGTGTACCCATTACTAACTGTCAGTTTTTCTCTGAAATTCAAGGCGTCTTTTTTTCTCTTTTTTTCGGTTCCAGGAAGGTATATTTACTGGCTGTCTAGTCCATCAGGTCTTACATGCAACTCTAATTTAAAAACTGCCAAGACTGCAATTTTTTAGATTAACATTATAAAAAACAAAACAATTCAAAGGAAATGCAGCTTTCTGACAACAATGCTATGAACATTGTTAGTTATTAGCTTCTAATAAAAACAGAAATTGAGCTATTGTTTTATTTAGCTTCATTTTACACAAACCTACTAGAACAGAAGTTCAATTCTGCTCAATACTTGCAATACACATTGTAAATCTTAGAGGGAGTGAACATCCTGATAAATTAAATGGTTACATCAAAATAAAGAAATTAATATTGCACATTACAGGATCATTCAGTTGCAGAATGTTTACCCTTCGGTAACACTGAATATTCTGCATATTGTTTAGTTTATAAGAAAAAGGTTTTTGCAAGACTAAATATTTGTTTGAAAGAAAATGTCAAATCTCACTTCCATATCCTCTTTCACTTGTTCTTGCTGGTCTCGAAGTTCTCCAAAGGAATCAATTATCAAGCCTGGAAAAAAGTCAGAATTGTGTGTCTGTTCATTTATGACTGCATGTAAATGACAGGTGTCTTCCCCAAACCCAAATGAAAAATTGAAAAATGGGTTTCTGTTAAACGTTGCAAACAAAAAACCTGAAAAACAGAATTAGCGTGGGACTCACCCTGGATGATGGCCAGGAGGATAACAATGACAAAGAAGAAAAATGTAATGTCAAAGACAATTCGCTCCACCTCGAAGTCATCTCCTGCAGGATCCTCAATCTCGTCACCGATGCCACCGCCCGCACGCACTCCCACGTACATGTGGAACATGTAACACTGGGAGAAAACACGTTGTCACAGTACGGTATTAATTCCATATATATTCATATATGCATGTATTTTATGACCAAAACTAGAGCATAAGTGTGGAGTGCAAAGTGTGGTGAAAATCTGAGCTGTAGAAAAACAGCGGGAGGCAATTAAATGACATTTTAAATGACTGCTTTTCAGGGAACATTTGAAGAACAAGCACTGTTGTTTCATTCAGTTTTTTTTATTGCAGTTGTCTTTTTTCCACTCCCCCGTCAATATTTTTTCTCTCAGGCAAGGAAATGAGGCAAGGAAAATCTACATCAAACTTCACAAACAAGGTCTGATTTATAGATTCATTTTCCTGATGTTCCAAAAAAATCCTTTTAAAAATCCTTCATAACCACTGTAATTTAATTGTAGCTAAACAAAACATAAATAAATATCAACACAGTGACTGTGGCTGGAGGATTCAATCTGATGTCCTCTGACTTTTAATGAGTGTTGATGTTATTTTTATGCTATCACTGACCACCCGCTGAGACATATGATTGGCAGTTGAAACCACATTAGAAAGGAGCAGGCAGATGGGTGTTAGTGTTGTGAATGGGCAAACAAAAAGCATTTCTGGGGAGTCACCGGCCTGCCTTTCATCCATGTGTCTGTCATTCTATGAAGAAATCTTGGAGCGACAAAGAGGATTTTTTCAGTTTATAATTGGAGATCACTACAACAATCCTCTTTTATCTTCCTTAATCTAAAGTCAGAATATGAGGTTGGTGGCAGTGTTTATGCTGGAAAGATAAACATAAAGAGATCAGATGAAGGTACATGTCTTAAAACTCACAGTAAGCATGTCATTGCACTTCATATCTTGGGCGTCCTTGTCATTGCTCTTATTGTAAAACTTCCTGAAGAAATTGAAGGCTACGACTGTGTAAAGATACACCACAACTGCCAGGAGCCCCACGGTCAGAGCCAACTGAAGAACACACACAGTTGCAAAAAAGAGAAAAACACATGGTCAGATGCGTAAAGAAGTTATGACTGTAGCACACTTTTGTACACACACACACACACCTGTTTCCCATTGTGTGTAACAGAGGAGAGGATGGTGCGAAGTGTCTTAAAGCCCATAGCAATATCCAAAAGGTGTACAGCAAAGAAGAAGTTGTTGTAGTGACCCAGAACCGACATGGTCATGTACCAAGCCAAGTACAAGAAGGACTATGGGCACACACACAAGCACACACAAGCACAAATAGACACAAAACAACCAATATTAGATTAGGAGAACAAATAGAGACCAATGTGTACTTTAGATAAGGTAGAATCACAGGATATTACCACTATCACCTCTGCAGGATGTGCATTCATATCACACAAAAGCACAGAGCACGAGGAGATTCAGTCATAAAATAATGGATATGTTTTACACACAACACTCAGTCTTATTACTTCATTTGTTGGCACCTTTACTTTTGCAGAACAATGTGGCAAAAGCAAGTGAAGCATTAAAAAAAAGAATCTTACATTGTCAGTAAATACAACTCCAAGTTTCCAGACCTGATACTTCACATCAATGGAGTTATATCTGAAAGAAAAAGTATTAACTAAATGTTACACGATGGAAAGACCCTGGAAAATGAGATCAAAATGTGCATGGTCAAAATAAGACCCTCATGCCACAATGACTTCTCTAAAAGAGATTGGTTATGCGGCTTCTTCTCAGAACGTCCTGTTCTTCTTGAAGTACAAGATAATGTTCGAATACCTTCTCTTTTCTGGTCAGCAAGGAAGTAACAAACACACAAACTGTACGTACACCCGGACATATAACCAAACTAAATAAATGAAAACATTGTAAATATATTTATATACACTGGAAGGGCCCATCATGGAGTCTCATTCTCCTTTACAGGAAAATGCACAACAGAAAGGGCTTATTTGATCGCGTTAGTAAGATGTTGAAATCTAGACTTCTAGCTAAATGCTAAACTGTTTACTTCTAAAAGGTTTTCCCATTTATAGCAAAAACAAGCCTTTTCTACATAAAAAAGCTTGATAATGTTCCTTTATATAATTCTCGTTAATATAAAGATCTCATACTTCATATTCACATTGATACTACAGACATCAATATGACAGAGATTAAAACTCTACAGACTACAACAAAATAAAGAGGTGGGCATTTATAGTACTTTCTCTACTCACAGGACACTCCAGCCAGCCTCCTTTTTGAGTCTTATGTCTTTTCTCTCAGAGCTGAAGTCTAAAGCAGCATGATCCAGACCTAAGAGTTCACTGATCTTCTCGCAGCCATATAAGTTAGCATACTTATCCATCACCTGACAGGAAAAGAAACCAGGTTCAAACAACAGCTTTTTTTAGCATAGGGTAATTGGCTGCACTCTCTGTACAGACTGTGCCATTATGAGATGGCAGCTCAGCAGACAGTGTGATGGTGCTGTTCATAAAGTAATGACTACTAAAAAAGAAACAGATTTCCTGATGTCCCTATTGGTGATCCATCATGTCTGGGGTCACGGTGGTTGCACAACATGCTGCAAGTTCAACTGTGTGCAATTTCTGAAGTTTATCCTGGTTTCACAGGATTGATCCACGTTTTAATTTCAGCCTTTACCTTAATTTTATTTGCACAGCACATCTTGGCAAGTAGGTTTAAAGTAGACATATGGCTAAACGCCAATGGCAAAGTGGGAGCTCCCTCAGATGTCAATATATTTAGATTCAATGTCAAAGTATTTTTCTTAGAGCACATTATGTGCCAAGTCATTACTTTCACTCCTTTTAATGTATGTGTCTGTATAATAACAGAGTACAGTATTTTATCTATGATAGATTATTTCTGGAATAAATAGTTGCAAGCTACTGAAATCAGTTGTGACAGATAGTTTTCTCAGGCAGGAGCTTCACTCTGGTTAACTGCCTTTTGTCAATATTTCTACTGAAAATAAGTACCTAATTATCCAGCCGACTAAGCCAACACTGAATCCTCACATTAGTGTTGTTTGGATCAATGCTAAAGTATTTATAATTGCTATCCCAAAGGTTTGCCATCATAAAAGAGTGCATCAGATTTTTAGGTTTACAGGAGAATTACCCACTGTGTAACAAACATGAGTGGAGCATCAGGATGAGCTATTAGATGTCCATGTTTTGAAGACATAATTAGAAATGCAAACAAGCTTGTACATGTTAAATACAAAAACTATATCATTTAATGAAAAAAAAAAAATGAAATATTCAAAAACATAAATGTAAGACCTCAACCAAATAATTCAGTAAACTGGACACCTTACCTTCCTCTTTACAAACTTATCCCAGTAATTACTTGGAAACGATCTGAAAAGATTAAGAAATATAAACGTTTTTGCGGAAAACATTGGAATTACACAAAGCTGCACCTTCCAAACACATTCAACTGAAACCAGTTGTAAAAAAAATTAACATGTCACATGACGTAAACATTTTGAATGGCAGTTCTCTAAAATTCCACGTAGGGAACATAATTTTTCTTGATATCATTATGATCTTAATTATGAAGCCATGAACATACGGTGTGTCTATAACCAGTCGGTCCCACTGCCCTTTGATGTCTTCCTCTGGAGGCTGTTCTGTTACATACAGACCATCAAACTCCAATTTTCGCGCTACCTCTTTCTCACGTTTGAAGATCACCAACGGTACCTTTTATTCAAAACGAAAGTGTTCACAGGTAAATAAGAAGTGGAAACATATTCTACAGCGGCAAAATAAGCAAGTAAAGAACTAGTAATGAAAAAAAAATGTTATCACTGAAGTAAAGAAGTATTCAAATTAACTGAAATACCTTTAGGAAGTAATAACCAAGAATACAGCAGAAGGAGATTATTGTGTGAGCAACTGCAAAAAGCCTAAGAGAAGGCTCCATATATCCACTGCTCTCTCCCAGCACAAAATAAACGTTTGCTGTGCTTTCCTCTTCAGGAGCAGAGTCCACCTCCTCCCAGTAAACAGATCTGTTATCCCCTTTGTCTACTTTAGATACAGGCAAAGATGCAACCTGAAATCAGTCGAACACCAAAAGAGAAAATGTGAGAGACATTTTTCCTCCAATAAAATGAATTACAATCCCATTACATTTCAGCATCAGATACCTCAGATAGGAATATCAATTATACCTGTACTGTGAAAATTTTATTCATTGTACAAATTAACCTTTTATCATCTGAGATAATGGCAGCCTTGACTTTTTAGTCAGATATCAGCAGGTTAATTATACAGGCAGATGAAATTACTAAATGATATAAACTGCACACATACAGTTGTGTAAGAAGCATTTAGATCATTTTACAACTTAACTATCGTTATTTTCTAAATGTATTACGCCAAACAGAAGTCTGCTATCAAAGTTTACATACACAGCCATTAGAAAAAACTAGCAGAATAGCATAAGTGAAAAATGCCCCTTGTAGTCAATACATTATTTGATTATTGTTTAGCTTGCAGAGAATGCATCTGATTATTAAGAAATAAAAAAATGAATACAATGAAAATCATACTTTGGTTAAATATAGAATCATTTCGACAGTAACGAAAATCTCTGACACAATTTGTTTCAAAATGCAGCAAGGAAGACGTTTCTCTGAAATTTTAAGTCAGGGGTAGAATCCCAGAGGCATGCTCTCACCTTATAGAAGAGAAGAATGAAGTTGATTGCAAAGGCAACAAACAGGGCGAGTAAGCGCATGTTATAAAAATTCCTGGCAAAGTAGTTCTACAAAAAAAGTAAGAAAAACACATTTGTGTAAACTGATGGCAATAAAAGTATGAATCCTAATCTGTGCTGCTAATGTACAATCAATCCTATGTGAATGCACTTGAACTTTACCAGCAGGCTCTTGCTTTGTGAGCTCATCATCTCCCAGTGGGCTGAATGCTGGCTCGGAGGTTCTTTTGACTTATTGGAGGATCTCTTGGCTGTCCATTTCGCCTCTGTTGACACATTCTCAGTTTTCTTCTCAGATTTATATCTTCTGCAAACAGTTGAAACACAAACAGACAGAGGTCATAGAACTTTGTTTTAACAAGGGAATAAGTCTGCCGATAAAATGTGAATTTCCATTTGTCTCACGGGTTAATTTGCCATCAGGCTTTATACTATTATTCCTGTATTTTCTCAACTTCTTATTGAAGGTTAATTGACTTAGAATTGAAAAATCTCATTCTTATAATGTATTGGATCAAATCTAAGGAAAGACGCTCACTCTGCACACTCCAACTCAGACATTTTCTCATCCTCAGTCGATTCCTTTCTGTCCAAATTGTCCTTAAGCTGCTGTGAGAAAAATAAGTCAAACACAGCGAAACATAAATTCAAAATATGTCAGGAAAACAACACAAAAATTATGTCAAACACAAAGCCATACGAAAAGAAATGTTGTGAACATGAAAGATGAAGACAAAAATACAAATAAACAAAAATCATACCACATTCTGGTGCTTCTCCAAACTATCCGTGGTGGTTGTTCTGGAGGCTTTGCTGAGTAGGTCACTCGGACTAGACGTGAGGTCTTGTGTTACAAGTCGGAACTGACCCCCCTCTTTTTTCAGCTTGAGACCAAATATGTCTGAGCGTACATCCCCCTCGTCACCCCTGGGGGAGGTCATCGCTGACATCTGCCCAATTTCCCACAACTCTGTCTGAGACGAAAAAGTGCCAGAGTACTTCCTCAGTCCATGCAAGCCGCGTGGCACCTCCATGACCTCATCAAGGGTTGGTTCAAGGATACCACCAAGAATGTCTGAAATCTTCACCCTTTTGGCTCCTTCTATGAGCCCCCCATTGACAAAAGCTATGTACAGCACATATATGATGCTGTGAATAATGAAAGAAAAACATCGGACCTGGGCCATGCAGATCCATCTGAGGAACAGGACGACCGATATAATGATGTCCTTCAATGTGATTTTCATCAGCGACTTAAGGTTTTTTACAGAAAACAGAGATGTAAACAAAAGCCAGAAGCGCCACATAAAAAACATCCCTTTGTTTTCCAAGTCTTTGTCTTCTTCTTTATTCTGTAGCTGTTCTTTTCCTGCAGACCTATCTCCACTCTTAGACCCCGATATCTGAGCAGCAAGCTGCATCTCAAAGATGGTGTCCTCACAGAAGTTCACAAACATTTCCATTTTCTCCTTCTCTCCACCCTCATTTACCACATCAAAGATAAACTGCCTCTTCGACTCTCTGACCTGTGGTTTCTCCCACTGTGTGCGACTATATTCGCTGATCTCAAAGTAGACACGTTCAAAGCGCTTTCCACTGCCAAGAATCTCAATGCGTCCAAGAGAAGGCTGAAAGTAAGTCAAGACACAGTCTGCCAGCTCCAAGAATGTCTCCAGCCTCGAATCTTTGGGCATGTGTTCGGACAAATTGGTGAGAAGCACAGTGATGCTGAAACCAATGTCTTTTGCTGGCTCATGAAAGCGATCTACAAAGGCTTCATAATCCACAATGTCACCATCGTTGGTCTCAATGCAGGACAGGAGGAAGAGAATCTCAGTTTGGGAGAAACGCTTGCAGTTTTCCATGGCTTTCTGGAAGTCCTTCCTGGATATGCTGCCCTTACAGTCGTGATCATACTCCCTGAAGGCCTCTGAGGAGGTGAGGTCTTTAAGTTTGAGGAACATGTCAAAGAACTTCAGAATCATCTCTACATTTCCTGATGATTCCACCAACATATCCACCATCTGTTTTCCTATCGTTCCATTAATGACATTTCCTGCAAGGAGGACACAACTTGATCAACAACAACAGACAGTACATGAACACAAAACAGTCATCTGTTATTAAGTCAGTAAAGTCAGTACAGACTTGCATCAAAGGTGAAGACATGCGATCTTGCACTTTCTAAGTAAATATATTTTTCCACAGGACTTGATGCTGCCTTTCATTCTAGAGATTTTTCTTTTGGCTATAGTTCACTGATCAAGAAGAGGCCTCACAGATATGATTGTGGGGTGTCTGACAGCGCAATGGCAGCCAAGCAGCCATGACATTTACACAATGTACTACCTCTGGAGCTAATACTTTTAATACTTTTATCTATTTACCTTCTAACATTGAAAGAAGAAAGACAACCATGTCCTTCTGTAGATCCATCAGCTCTTTCAGAAGCTCAATTTGTCTCGGATCCTGCATGAAACAGCAAATCTTTAACCAGTCTAAAAATATTTCACATCAAAAATGACATGTACTGTATGTAGTGGACAGATTACTGGGGGGCGGGGGGGGGGGGGGTGGAGGAAAAAAAAAAATACCGGAGAGAGCTTCATCTGTAGGTGAGCAAAGACATGAAGGAATCCCACCACAGCATCCCAAAGTCGACTGTGGGCTAGACTCTGCTGATTGCCAGTACACGGACCCTGGTGGAACATATTATGTAAGTAACTACCTGATCAGATGTAGAACTCAGGTTGTCTAAAAAAACATCTTAGTAAAAATTTGTTAGGCAATAAATGTTTTAGATTTAGACACTGTATTTCATCACTGTGGCAACAACCACTGATGTACGATATGAATCCTTTCTTCAGCAACATTATACGTTATATTTCAGGTTTATACTTATATTCTGTGTTCGCTCTCATCTCCCCTCTGTCTTTTTTCTCCCATGCTTTTTATGCTTTGTTTAGTATTGTAAAGCACTGTGTGGCTTTTAACTTTGGGGGGACTTTGTGAGTCCCAGTATTCAGTGAATCTGAAATAACAGTAACTTTTTTAGTAATACAATTTATTGTGTGTAGGGATGAAATGTATTTAAGAAAAATATCTTCCTTTCATTTTAGCACCTTAAACCTTTGAACAGTTTCACATATGTTTAGGTAGCTGTTATGCCAGATAGCAAGAAGCCACAGATTAATATAGAAAAACCCATTTGAGAATAATGATACATGATGGAGACTGACCTGAATGTACTCAGTGAGTGTGTTGAAGACCTGTTTAGCTACTTCAATGGCTTTTGAGAAGCTTTTATGTCCTTGTTCATCAATCACATCCTTCCCAGAGTAGTACCAATAGAAGTCACTGATGGACTCCTATTGTGTGGCGCAGGGAAGTTTTCAAGAGCATTAATATGAACTGATTTAAGATTCAAATCTTTAAAAAGCAGAGAATCAGATTGTGAGTGGAAAAAGATAGGCAATTAATTTAGAAACAGATAATATTTTATCTGAAAATAGCATCACAGGCTTTAACAATTATGCTTGGTCCAAATATATTGGGACCTTTTTTCAGTGTTTTTGATTTCTTTTTTCAGTCAAGCAACAGAAAGAACATCAAATTACACAATGTTTACCTGGACCCTCAGTAAATAATCCACAGTGGATATAATGATGTTAACAGTGGTGTTGTTCCCAGTTTGCGTTCTCAAATAATTCTGGAAATCTGGAAATAAAAGATCAATCAAAATTAACATAATCATCACAGCTGCATCATTTATAACTATCTTAAAACCATATATGTGTAACACAAATCGACAAAGGCTTCAGTTTAAGAAAAGATTAAACCATTTTGAATATGTTTGTAAAAGTATAAAAGAACAGGCATTCCACCTGAGTTGTGTCCTTCACAGAGAAGTTGCAAGAAACGAAATAGATCACAAGTTAAATCTTTGTCCGGCATCACCTTTTCTCCTGGGAAAACAATGGGCAGATATAACAAAATGGTAAATTGACAGAACTGAAGAAAAAAAAAAACAATTAAAGAGAAACAGTTGTTTTTTATGTTTAGATTGCAGAAAGATTTATATTCATTTTCACCATAAACTGAAACTATGTTCATAGCTGGGGATATTTCAGTTTGCTCCTCTAATGTGACATGGATTAACAGTAATATTCTGTTGTTTTTTTATTTCCATTTGAATGCAGTACCTGAGCTGTCTTCCATGGCCATGCCTAATCCCTCTGCTTTGTTCTGCCTTTCAAATGCATTCAGATCCAAAACGCTGGACGGCAGAAGCCATCACACACACACAAAAGGATAAAAAGTAAAGTTTTTTTACTCATTCCAACAGTTATTAAATACGTTTCAGTCTTGCAATGTGTGACAGGACCTTTTGTTTTACAGTTACTCACCAACATGACCGCATGAGTCCAGCCGTGCTCTGAAAAAAGTCAACGTCTCTCTTCTCTTTAAGATAATCTAGCATTTTCTTTTAGAAAAAAAAGAGTAAGATTCACTGTAAGTGTGATGAAAGGTGGAATCTTTCATTTCAAGCACGATAATTACTGAGCTATCATTTTACAACAGCGATAGTTGCGGCGGTGCAGATTATACCTGCAAGTCAAAAGAGTCTAAGCTTCAGCAGACCAGACCTCCAGGACCAACTCAGTATTCAAGTTATGTCAGTGTTTTAGCACAATAGTAAATAATTTGCCATCCATACCTGTTCTAGACGTTTTAAAGATATAAAAACCTGCTAAAAGGAAAATAACTGAAAATATTTTGACTAAAGTTTTACCTGTTGTACAGTGGTGTTCCCCCCGTTAAGAATGGCTATACCAAGTTTCAAAGTAGGGGCGATCGAGGAGCACATGACGCCTGAAATGAACAGAAAAACAGAGGATGTATAGAACTTACCTGAAAGAATAACTGCGTGATTCACATTGAGAGGAAGGTAAACAGTTAACCCAATACATTTCTTATAGTCTCATGTAATTGAAAATAAGATAAACTTTTCTAAATCTCATCTAAAGCAACTTACTGAAAATTTAACAATTAAGTTTCAAAACATCGACCTTTACATGAGTGATTTATTTCACATGTTTAAGTATTTCCAACCTTTGCTTGCGCTTATAGTTTGCAGGACCATTTCAGAGGCTCCACGGCAATGCAACCTGGCCTGCTGGTACAGAAGTTTCTGTTTCTCCATCTCCTTCTCCTGAGGCAAATAACATTTTAGCAAAGCTTAAAAGATCAAATATACACTGAATATTATCCGCATAATACATAAATAGATTTGTAATTATTCTAAGACTAAGAGTCGATTTCCTCACTTCAAAGCTTTCCATCTCCTGCTCCTCTTCGTCACCACTTTTTCTACAGCAACTCTGAGAAACATACGAATCACAGTAGTGATGTAAAATGAGGTAGAGAATGAGTAAGGTGATTGACAAGTAATGAGATATTTATCAATGCACAGCTTCTCATTTATGACTGGTTTTATTATTATGATTGTTTTCTTTTATACTGCCTGTGACATGCACCAAGAGATCAAAGAAGAAGCTTATGAAGACTTGATGCAATGTTGAAGAGCATCAGAGCTGAATGTGTTTGCATGTGAGTGTTTTATTATGGGTAAAAGCAGGCAGGTGACTGGCCTCCACTCTAAGTGTGGGCATTTGATTCCTCTCTATAGGGCATTTTTCCTTCCATAATGAGCTGAGCATTTCTCTAGCTTTCAGAACAATTATGTGAAACAAGACTACCGTCTGATTTGCCACAACCCTGGCATGGAATCCAGTCAAATGAATTGACATTAAGTATGAGTTCTCAATTTGCAATTACCTTGGCCATGATAGCAGAATAAGACCTATAGAGATTCTCACTGTCATGCTCACTGTGGACAAAGAAAAAAGATACCATGTCAATGTAAGGGTATTGACAAATGCAGCATTCTGGAAAAACCTGATCAATGACAGGGCTCAATGTTACACTGTTGAACATGACACATGGAACTGAATCTGTTTACTAAAATGGACTATTTGGTTACATCTCTGTAGTAAAAGGAAAGCAGCGCTCCCCAAAGAGAAGAACAGATTAATGTTATGATCCTTGATATAACCTCACATCATATTTCGCTATCAAAAAATGACAGCAGTGACGCCCAAGTCTTCTTTGGAAGGAAAATGAACATTACCGGTACAGGAAACCATATGTGCAGGGTGGAACTAAATTCAAGGCACTTGAGTGACACCAGCAACATAGATTCTAGGCTTGCAGAGAGCTATGTTTAAAGCTATAGAACAAGAAAACACTTCTGACCAATTTAGTATTGACTTTCCTGGTGATGCATTTGACCAGTAATAAAAGCAGACCTTAGTTCTCACTGCACGTGAACCTCTATAATGAATACACACCTGCTCTCCGTCAGGGCAATTCGACTGAAGAGTGTAATGAGTTGTAGGAGGGGATCGATCGGTGGGGCACCTTCTTCCACATCCTTCCCTACCCCTTTGTCACCTTCCCAGGGTTTCATCACTCCCCCCTTCTGAAGTCCAGAGAGAAAGGGCAGAGCATCTAATATGCAGCCTTAAAATGCTTAAATTATCAGAAAAAAAATAAAACATCACTGAATATTTTTCACAGTAGACATGTCTCCACAATTTGCAAAACAAACATTACCGTACATTTTTTAAAACAGACTTTCTTTTTTTAGGTATCTAAATAAATGTTTAATAGGACATTTTTAGAGTGAGCAATTGCTGTACCGCAATTTCCCATTGCGGTAGAGCAATTTCACAGGTGAAAAAAGTGCTCTGTTCTGCAGAAAGGTACTACTATTTGATGCTATAGTGTTTAGTGTACAGTGGCAAGACAGGAGGAATTTATATGGATCTATTCAATATAAGGAAACGAATAAATCAAAAAGTGTTAGTAATGATCAAGCCTCACCCACGTATATGAAAGAAAATGTGTATTTCACCTGTCCACTAATTCTAAACACACGGCTGACTTACTCTCACATATTACGATACTATCTTTAACTCAGACGGATACCAGCAGGCTTGCTGTTTCAACTCACAGCTAAATCCCCCACAAGTATCTCCTCAAAGCTGTGGTCTTCAGTTGATATCCAGGATTTATTGTAGCCTTGGAGAAACAGGTTTACAGCTCGATGCCTGCAGGGGAAGTGTAAAGGGTGAAGAAATGTGAGGGAAAACCTCAAATAACTGCAAGCAGGACTGAGGAAAAAAACTTGACAGATGTGCTTTCATTAGATCCTTCAGTACTCAATCAGCAAGAGCTCAAACATGGATGAAACTGTATGCAAATGTGAGAATATCATGTAAACACTTGTCTACAATTCCTACAACTTTTCTCCAGACAAAAATAGATTTTTAGAAAGAGGAGTGAGAGGTGAGAATGCACAAATATGCACAGATGTTATCCCAGGTGTACTCACAGTTCTATCAGGCATTTTAATGCATTGAACCACAGCTTTTCTACCTGGGTAAGTTGTAGAGGGGAGTCATCCTCAGGCAGGCCACCACTGCACGTTTTCTCTGTTTGGATAGGACTTTGTGCCATGCAGGCTTTTTGCCTCTCTGTGGGTGTTCAACCTGAAAGCCAGAAGCCAGGAGACAATTAAAGTGCCCTTGACCCTTGACAAGCCAAACGTGCTGAAAGAGGCTGTATTTTATATTAGCACCTAGGTAGAAAAAAACCTTTGAGTTACATAAAACAAGGAAAGATTGAAATCAATCACAAGTTAATTCTCCTGTCATAGAAATGATGGAATTTTAAATAAATATGCAACACATTGACATAAAAATCATTACCATGCCATTGCAGGATGATGAGAAAGACAGAAGCACTTATAACTTCCTTTATTTCACTTTACTTCACTTCACTGATAAAGCACAATTCTTTGCACACTGTCTATTGATTGAGGTGGATAGATGCACTCAGTTTCGCTTTATTGTCAGAGGCCAAGGAAGCAAAGAACAATGGCTCTGCTCAGAGTCTTAATCTGGATTTATTTTTTATAAAATGAAAAAGCTCACCTGATCCAGGTAATAAAGAACTTGAGCTATTTTAAGAATCCTGTTAACGGTCCTGTGTGTGTCAGTGTTATTTCCAAGCAGTATTGAGTTTTCTGCATCTAGCATCTCCTCCCTGTTTCTGTTCAGTGCCTGCAAAAAAAAAGAGGGATGGATAATTGTATTTTACTGTGAATTAATAAGCACCTTTAGCAAGAAAACACAATAATGGAAGAATGAAGAAGCTTGGTATAAAATCTATAAAAGTTGTTGTTCTGAAACTTGGTTTTTTAACTACTTTTGATTTCCTAGGATGATATCTTCAAACAACAAACCAGTCAAGACTTATTGCACACAGTTGAAAAACAGAAAAGTTTATTAATCAGTTCACTCAACCAAAAGGATGATCCACTAGCTATTTAAAACTTGGAAAATACTTCTGATTTATATGATTATTTTCTCATTACAAAGCCCAACTTTTCATTGATGGCTTATGAATAAACATATTTATTAGTGGCTTAAGCATGCAGAAGTAATCATTTAAATTAAAATTTCAAATTGATATCAACTCCATATCTCTGGATAAGAATTAATCATTGAGTGACTTTAAAAAGTCAGCTAACACAGGCTAGCAGAGAAAATGGATTGTTTGAAAAAAAAAAAGAAATATCCCCTATAATCTTGCAAAATTTGATTTGCTTTTAGAATAGAGCAAAAAATAGGATTACGGATCAACAGAAATGATGTGCCAGCAAATACCTGAGTCTGAAGATATCGAAGGTAACTCAGAATATGTTCTCGGATCTCATCCTCAGTGTTTTTCTGTGATGAAACAACATTGTTAGTACAGTAAAGCCTCTACACATGAATTTAATTTGTATGTTGGTTCAAATATTCCCATTAGAATACACTGTATTTCGTATAATTCGTTCCACAGCCCAAAAAGAAGTTTCTATGACTTCAACGTAATTTTGGAAATTTACTTTGGGTGCCGAGTCGAATATTTTATCAAATTTCCCATCGTATGTTGGAAAATTCATATGTTTACGCAATCGTAAGTAGAAGTTCTGCTGTATTAGATACTCGTCGTAATATTGTGCAAAATTGGCCTTTCTTTATTTTTTTTTTGCATCTGCCTGATATGTAAGATGTACATTCCTTTAGTTTACTGTGTTTAAATGTTTGTCACTTTTATATCAGCTTTGTGTTTTCTTGAGTGTATGTGTATGTATCCACTGACATTTTTTTTTCCATCCAATTCTGTTATGAATGTATTACATTATTATTGTTTTCTATTGTTAAGGTAAGTTTTAATGTAATGTAATAAGCTGTACAATTGAAATCAGTATTATTATCAACATGATAAATATCAATGTGCACCTTTTCGTGCAAAGATCCAAATGTTTTCATATTTAACAAAGCAAATTTTCTACAACGCAAAACTTTATATGTTGATATTGTCCTTATCTCAAACTGACCTGAGAAAAGTCGTCCTTAGCCAACATGATAAGACTTTGGTCACTTGGAAAACAAACTCTGAGTCCCACAGGGACCAGCCTTTTTGTAGAGGCTATAATAAGAGAGGTATGTGTAGAATAACGATCTCCCTTCTTCTTCACCCTCCTCCTCTCATGATTGATCTGAGTAGACGGAAACCACGAAGAAAAACATGTTTTATTTTTTACATTTTTAACAGAGTTAGGAATAGTGTCAAAGATAATAGAAAGGCAGTTTTTGCACATGAGTGTAAGTAGGAAAAAAGGGTTCAAATTATTAGCATTACTGACCTTAAACACTTTGTCTTTAGAGACCAAGACAGCCAAATTGTTGATCTCATTTTGGACCACATAATTCTGTTCCTCCCATTTGAAATGCTATTGTAAAAACACAAGCACAGTCTGTATACAATGTTCATATACCTCAATATTCACTTGCATTTATCTGTATTGGCAGGGGCATAAATAAATAACGTGTGCCATTCTCACATGAGATTTGGCCCAGAATATAAAGACCTCTGCCACCATGATGAACAGCTGCTCAGCCTCAGGGATAGGATCTTTCAGCCATCTGGCTCTGAGACGAGACAGAACAAAACATATTAACAGTGAATTTATTCCTGGTGAAGATGAGACTAGCATGACATAATACCTTTAATTCAATTTTCTTTAAATATAACTTTGATAAAAAATCTTTCTTTCTCTACATTTTTTATCTTTACACATTTCCTTTCAAGGTGCTGAACTAATTCTGTGTAATTACTATGAGTAATTCTGTAAACATATGTTACATTAATGTATTCATTAATTATTCCATTATGAGTTCTTCAGACGCAAGGAGATAATTACTGTATACACATGAAAAACTAAAATAGCTTCCACTGAGCTTATACATTTTTCTATTTACTCTTGGAAGGTTTTCCCAAGCAGGATTCCATGCTTGTCCATTCATTAACCTCTTTTTTTATCTCGTTAAAAGTCTTACCGATTAGAATCCACAAATTGAATGAGGAGTGGATAAAAAGCGTAGAGGTCTCGAACCAGCACTGTGTACTTCTCCTGTATCTGCAGCTCTGCTTCGGATGTACAACATCCTTCGGCTTTCATCTGCTCCTCCTCCAGCAGGACACATTCTGTCCTTTTCCTTAGTTTCTCCATTAGTGGCAGGAAGTGGCTTTTCAGCAGCTCTGTTTGTGCTTTGCATATAATTGGCTGAGAAAAAACTGAAACATGAATGGTGGATGTTTTGTAACTTATATTTCACTGACATCTTATTTACTCAAATGTGTTCACGCAATCAGCAGTTTGCTGAATATTATAATAATACCTGCAAGCTGTTTCATCCAGTTGCCCGTGCTAGCACCCACGTGGTTGTGGATGATACGAAGGATGAAGCCAAGCAGATCACTAGCATGCTGAGGCATGACAGAGGTGAAAACAACTCTGTCTGGCTGTCCTTCAGGGCCCCAAGGCCACCAATGGGAAATATAGCTGCACAACATCGGTAAGGTGACCTCTGCAACGTGTATGTATTGAGCCTGGTGAGCTCCAGCTCCAGCACAAGCCAACTGCTCCACCTCTCCCAACGCCTGCTCCAGTGAAGGCAGGAGGGGACACATCTCCTCCACGTGATCTGGCAGTCCCTGGTCTAATGGAGGAGGGTGCTTATTGACTGTGTCAAGAGTGAATAAGTTTGAAAAATGTAAGAGTTTTACCTTTAATCTCAGCAGTACTCATCGTATTGTAGATGGAATATGGGTTGTTTGGATTTAGGCTGGGTTCCAGAAAGCAAACAGGAAGAGCACCAGTCAGGGCTGCAAGACACCCACCTGCTGCTGACCTCTGCCTGTGCGGAAATAAAAAATTAACAACCATATTTTGTTTAGTATAGACAAAGCCCCAGTCACAGCTTCTGCTTGACCCTTCTGTTTTGCAGAAATAAAGAGCTCAGTCTCTTTTAATTTGTCATGTAACAATACAAATGGCTCAAAAAGTCACTGGAAGGGCAAGAAAAAATGGGGACTGAGGAAAGCTAAATCTGTTTGGTTAGAAACTGGTCAGTTTATATTCTTGGAAGTGGAAAAAACATAAAATACTGAGAAGTATCCCAACACTGTCTTTTTTTCTAAATCATGCAAACACAAGCAGTACCCCTCCATGTAGATGTTGCTGCTGGTTCCAAGAGAGTAGAGGCTGTTCAAGATCCTGTAACAGGACACCTGGATACTGTCAACTGCAAAGATAAGGTTCTGTTGAAAACTGAGAAACTTGCCAGTTTTCTCCTATACAGCCAGCGGCTCCAAGCTAGCTCAGTGACTGATGTTTCAGGGTCAGGATGTAGACGATGTGCTCCTCCTACTTTGGGGGCAACGACTGAAACTCTTAAATCAAGCAAGAAATGTCTCAAATAATTTAATCAGAAGCTGTATGTTCCGTATAAGAAGGTATACGCTTGAATAATCTTTTATGTAAGGCACTTTGAATTGCTTTGTACACAAATTATTCTATACAAATAAATGTGCCTTGCCTACATGTTTACTATGCTGTTGCCCTGAGCTAAAATAGCAGAGGTTGTCCATATGAGCTCCATCTGGCTGTAAAATTAATCTTGAATATAGAAAAGTCCTTACCAAGGAGATCAACTCCATAGTTCTGGTTTGCAAGATGATGGAAAAGGGAAGTGAGGGTGGGCAGAAGAATGGATGCTGTGTAACTGAGAACCTTGGTTACTCCTCGGTTCAGCTGGCTTCTATTCTGGGGACCTGAGACCAAGGTTTCAGAAAGTTTTTCCACAGCCATCTCTAAATCAGCAGCAGCTGCCTCAAAAAAAGAATGCAGAGATGTCTGGATAGACTCTGGGCCTTCCTTCACCAGTGCTCTACAAAGAAAGTGTAAAGAAAAAAAATATTCCTTTCAGAAAATTCTGGATATTAGGTGGTAAAAAAACAACAAGAATCATTCATTCTGACAAGGGCAAATATTGTACATGGAACAATCTTAATGAGAGGTGTAGGAAATCTGAAAATAAATAACCTCTGATGTCGAGAAAGTTTGGCTTGTTAAAATGAAACTGAATAAACTCTAAAGTTGCTCAACCAATCAGCAGACAAGCCTTAATGACATCAATCTCTGCTAAGCTTGAAGCATACTCAGGGAGTTAAAGAGATATCTACCAAAATTAGATACCATCAGTGTATCAGTAGCTCAATTACAGCAGACATGTCATTCTCTGACAAGCAGGTGCAAAACTGATAAAACTGCACATTGAGTTAGGCAGTAGTGCCATCTAGCTACCTGGCATCCAGAGCCTGCGCCAGAACACCAAGACAGTTTGTAATCGCTGGGGTGTCATTACCTGAGAAAACATTATAATCAAAACATTAATTTAATGAGCAGAAATTCAATGACAAAAGCATTATTTGACAACACAGAATACCCTATGCGCAGGGGTGGGGTCTTAAAATAGTTCAAATTGAAAAATAGTACCATAGCAAAGACCTAAGACCATAAACAAGCACAAAAACATTTAATGTGAAATAAACTAATCCTTTTGTTCACACCATCCTTACCAATGAGTGAAATCCTGTGTCTTACAAGAGATGCAAGCTTACAAAAGAGGCTTAGAAGAGAAAAATGGGAAAATTATTACAAGGCATAAAATCTGAAGGCTGCAGCACAGAATAACATTAAGTGAATAAATGTAATAAAAATATATATTTTTTGTTATCGTAATAGCATTGTAATGCAAAAACACATGAACACAAACACAGAGGTACAACATCTTTGTGATTAATAGAACTATGCAATTATCATGGATTGAGTTGGCACATACCACGCAACTAGCTCCTTTTCCTTTTTGGAAGCATGGCTTCTATTGTCAATTGCAAAGATTGTGGTAGACAGGAAGTACTGGCAATGACTCTTTACATATTGTTCCAGAAGAGGAAGGGCGACCTATGGAGCAATGGAGATAGACCAAGCATCACTCATCAAATAAACATTATTGCATGATATACTTTTAGATTTCTCCTCCCAAGACTAAAATAGTTGAACAAATTCAACCACAATTTGACTACATCATAAACATGATCTACTCCTTGGTTTTATTACTTCACTAAAGCTATAATAATACTGGAAATAATAATGGAAATACAATCCATTCAATGTCAATTAAAAAAAAAATCTAATTTAATCTAAACATCCAATAAGCAATCTGCACTTATTCAAGACATAACCTCGATTAACCTCATAATATTCTGTGATAATGACTGCCATACATGTTTTACATTTTGAATGAATAAAACTTGCTGCCAGTTGGACATGTTCAGGTGCTGGAGATTTACAGACAGACGAACAGAGAGAGAAAGACAAATTTGGAATAAGCCTACAAGAAAGCACGTCAGACTGTGGCTGAATGGGATTTTTTAGGGTGTACTGATGAGAAGTATGGCCTTTCATAGTCTTGGCTAACTGGGTCTGACTCAGGAGGTCCCATCAGTGTAAAATAAACCCATTTCATTGCTGCCTCCTTGGAGGCAGAGAAGTGTGGGAGGCTTTAATCTATGTCCTGATGGCAATCGAAACGCCCACATGGATTTCCAAAATGGTTAAATAAATTATACATCCACAAAGGGTTTTGCTTAGAGGAGTTACCCATGGCAACCATCTAACAAAACTAATTAGATGACATAAATGAGAAAAAAGGCTAATGAGAACACATAAAAGGGCATTGGAAAAATTAAATTGAGGGAGGCTAAATCAATGTCGGAGATTTCTTATCACTGGGTAGACTTTGATTAGGCCTTATGCGTTTGATATGAGACAAACCTTTTGGAAGAAAATGACTGGTTGTTCGTCTGGAGCTCTTTCTCCTTTGGATATCTGTCCTCTAGCTTGTATAACTTCTGGAAAGAAAGAAAAAATAATGAATCTCAAAACACAAACAGCCAGACTAAAACAGCTTTAAATGAAAGAAGAAGAAAAAGTACACATTACAACATATTTGGTAAAGTGTTTCAGTGTAATCTTGTAAAAACAGACAGATTCACATGTTAAGATATGACCTAAACTGCACAGACCAAACAATCCTGAAGCAAACCTACTGACTAAAAACTAAAGATACTACTGCTTAATTTAGAGATAAACAGTGACATTAGGTGCTCAGGCTATTCACAGTATTTTCATATCCGTCACAGTATCTTCTGGAGTAATCATAAGTTAAAAAATGTATTAATTTATGGCGAAAGTCCTTTCAAATTTTTCATTCATTATTATCCTTATTTTTTTGGTCAAAATTAGTGCAAATTATCTTGTTACCAAGTTTCAACATGTTCTCTTGGGCCTCCTCAGAGTGAGAGAGCAGTCGTTGCAGCAGAGTGTATCCAAAGCAGTTAGCTATGGCTGGAAAGTCCATCTCCACAGTCTTTCGATCCCTGTAGACAAGGTTCAATCAAACAGGTTTACTTTAGAGCTTGTCTATTTAATACTATATAAACTGAATTGCATGTTTATTACAAAAAGATTCAATACATTTCAAGTGCAGTGTTGCAGTGGATAGAAAAAAAGTCCATACATTATATGCTGAATTGGTAGTTATTTAATTCAGCATGTGAGCTGCACAGGAGGGTGTCAGTAAAACAGAGCCTTTGATCTGATTGCTATTGTACCCTCTGCTCAGTGTCAGGACAGCAATCCATACAGGCGGAACACCTTGCTGCTTTCCATTCTATACATACTCTACACAGTCTGCAGAAAAGCTTATGATTGTAAAAGGGAAGAGCTCACCGCCACACAGTATAGCCATTGAGGAGAAGAAACTTGAGTATATCCTGGGCTCTTTCTCTGAACTTGGCCTTCTCCTTGGCAGTGAGGGTATCATAGGGAACAACCACTGAATGACCACTCCCTCCTGAGAAAGGAAATGGGTCAAAAGCAAAGAGGTTTTAAAGACCCTTTAGTGATTCTTGAGAGGAGACGACAGAGACATTGTGGTTATTTTGAAGTGGTACCGTGTGAAGTACTCTTATGAGGAGTCGCTGCTGACCTGTTACAGGAAGCCGTGAGAGCACTCTTAGATTGGAGAAACAGGTAAGGGAGCTAACAAAGTTAAGAATACAGCTGCTAAGAACAGGAACAGAAAAAAGGGATTTTTTTCCCATCTTACAAAGCAACACAAATCTCATAAAACTGCAGCAGTCAAAAGAAACACGATTATGGATTTTCTCTCCATTTCACCTTGGCTTCTGGCAGGTAGAGAGGGACAGTATTTTCTGGAATAAATAATTTCCATGTTGCAGGCAATGCATAGGTAATCACTGACTAGTAGCTACACAGTTTCAGCAACACTGAGGTTCACAGGTTGAGAAAACCCCAACGAAAACAACCATCTGAGGCAAGACAGCATTAAAATTCAGAATATAGCATCACCTCAAACTGCTGTTTGCCTATGAGGTGTGCATCCTCTTAGACATTTTTTTTTACGGTCTCCCTCCTGAGAGGCTCTTCGCTCTCTAAGAAATCATCCCTGCTTCAACAAACCGGGCTGCTCTCGCTGCTGTCCTCTAGGCAAGACATGGACCAACACCACGTAAAAAAAGGAAGATTTCTTGGCAATAATGACAAACCTTTACTCTCATATTCATATTTCTTATTCTTCGCCCAGGCATTGTGATAGTTTTCTGCCAATTGTTCAGCCATTGCCTGTAAACAAGGACACACTAAGTAGATATTACCTGTCAAAAAACAAAACTTTCACTGGGTAAACATTACACTTTCTGCAGATACTGTATTAGAAATGAAGCAAGATCAAATTTTAATGTGAGTTAAAATTGAAAAAACTTTCAGAGCTTACACACTGATCCCAAGATAAGGTGATGCTACTCATGTCCACTGGTTTGGGGCTAAAAGTTGATGCTCCTTCAAAAGAAAGCTAAGAGAGGCACCAAAGCATTGGTTAATTAAAATAAATCGGAGGTTAACTGAATGTGACCAGTGGGAGCACACACCTGCCCAGACTGAGAAACCCTGCGAGTACAGGTATGCATGCCAAATGCATCTCCTTCTTTGGTCCTCTCTATGGTCCAACCAAAAGCCAGCATGCTCTTTATTGTCTCTTTAATGGCCCAACGATATGCCTCCTTCTCCTGGTTCCAAATAGAAAAAACAAAAATGATGTACTGCAACTACATTTAAACCATTTTCAAGAAAGCCCCAGGGGTCATGAAAGATAAGCTAACGAAAAAGAAACATTTTAACTTCTCAGTCTTTTCAAAGGACTGCCCACTCTTGGCAGCAAATTGTGTAATGATGACAGGGGGTGATAACTAAAAAAACCCTGAAGAACATCATTTAATATTTCATATTACCAACATTTAGTATGCATGTGCCTCTGGGGTAATACGGCTCAACACTTTCATTACTGAAGTACAACGAGACACACCATAAAAACTGATTTCTCAATCTACCTTCTCAGCTAGAGCTCTGTATGGTTTGAGGAGAGGGTGGACTTTGGTGTTTTCACATAGCTGCTCCCCATGAACCCAGCCATTGGCAAACTGTCAGGCATAACAGAATCATTAAAATCATACAAAACACAGATCTGCATTCTGGCACTGTTGTAGTATTTTACAAATGTATTTGAAATGATTTTGGCACAGTCTTTGATATCAAATGCTTGCTCATCATTATATTCAACTAAATGTTTAGCTCTGAAAAAACAGTAATTGAGATATTACCTTGTCAAGAGACCACTTCTCGTGAGTATGCTCTGCATACTTGTTCACAACAAACTCCAGCCTCTCTGGCACAGACACACTAATGCAGAGTAAGATATAATACGGCATTTAGCCATATTACACAGAAACAAATCTGACCTTTTACTTCAAAAGCAGGTTATGTTTCCTGAAAAAATGTAATAAGTAACACAGTGTCTGTTGGCCATGAATTTCAGGTCAGAATCTTACTTGGAGATATCTGCAGGTTGTGGGTCAAAGTTTCCATCTGTGTCCATGGAAGATTGTCTCTCCACTTCAGACAAACGGCTTGACTCCACATGATCAGGAGGCAAAGCTTTGGAAACTGCAACAAGGCACTCCACACACAGCCGGAACATCTGAGGCAGGTAGGGCTTCAATCAGATTGTTTGGAAAGAAAGGGAAAAAGAGAAAGAACTGGGTGAAGGTATGATTGTATGTCTCTGTATCTGTTCAAAACAGAATGTTGAAATGTGATATTTTCTTTCTTTGACCTTGTTTTAGCAAAACATCGGTGGGTTGTTTGTGACTTTTTGTGATTGCCATGTAAGTGAATATTCATGAGAGTACATATGAGGAGTTGATCGGTTCTCATATTTACCCCAGTCGTCAAATGCTTGTATGGCTTTTGGCTGATTACAGAACCAGCATACAAATGTTAAATAATAAGTTCAATCACAAACATTTTCCCTCTAGCCTCTTGTCCCATTTATTCATTTAGATTGTGTTGGTTTGCAGATGAAGGCAATTTTATCAATTTCAACTGAAAACAAACCTTGTAGTGACCCCAGTTGAAATCACATACTTGATTGCGAAAGTATATCTAAATTAATTAAGGTAGTCTCACCCTAAAATTTAGCTTAAACTCATGTAATTTGAGAAAATTGTCATGGTGTCTAGAAAAAAAAGGGTGCAAGAGAAAACATGTCAGGTCAGAGCGAAATTGCCTGATACAAATACCATCCTTACATCGAGTTTACAATAAATACAATAATAAATCAAATTAGCACATTCAATGCAATTAAATGTGAGCCATGCAGGTAATGCATATCAAAATATGTGAGTGTGCATTTACTATGAACCAAGAGAGCATTCATGTATAGATTATTGCTCTCACAAATCCCCAACAAGTCTGTTTTAGAGTCAAGAGGTTTCATACCAGAGTATGAATAATGAACCTTCTCAAGAGTGTTGCATCTCCCTCTACTCAGGTTTCCAGAGTACTAAAAGTGGATTTTCATGTTTTTGACCATGAGAAACGAAGAGAGGTGATAAATTAGTTAAAGGGAAAACTATAAAGAGAAAAAATATGTATGTCTTTTTATTTTTGGCCACCTTTTTGGTGCTAAAGCAAAATGTTTGAATTTTAAATCCTTTCTATGTCAATATTGAAAAAGGCATTCAGCATCCTTACCTTCTTTGCTAAGGCTTTGAACACTCCCCAGAACAACTTTCTGCACAAGTGGAGCTCCTCTTCAGAAGCCAAAGTCTGGTCACACTGTGTGCCAGCTTGGGAGTAGTACTTACATCTCTGCTCAAAATGACTGGTCAAGAGCTGAAAGACAGAAGTAATGTATATTTTTTCCTGAACTACTATTCATATGTACATTCGCTGTAACAGAGGCCAGCTTAATTTTCGACCTTCAGTGGCAGTTGACTGTGGTCTGCAAGATGGAGAACATCAAAGACGAGCCGTCGAAGCAGAGGCTGCATCATAGAAGTCTTCAGTTTACTGGGGATTAAAAAAATTAACAATGTAATGAATAATATAAACTCAATTTATATCTACAACAACAGAATATACAATATTAAATTAATGTTCACATTTCTAAATAGCAAAAAATGTTTAGTTGGACAAGAAATTGATAAATGTAACATGATTATGTTTGATGCCTTAACAGTGAAAAAGAGACCTCGCAGTGACTAATTGCATTGTGGGACACATGGGAAGTGGGTAATGTTCCAATAAGGAGTTGAAATATCTAATGAATCCATTATAAGAAAGTGAAGATTTATAGTTGGAATGCATTCAGATTCATTAACAAAAATATAAATCACTGAGAAAAATGGATGACTGGGAGTGACAGCGTTCTGTTGAGTTTGGACTGTTTTATATGGTGGTTTCAAACGTTCAAAAGAATTAGATTAATGAAAATAATAGGGTAATGAAATCATTCCTAGGGGGAAGAAAAGAGTATGGTCATGCAAGAACTAAATACTGAATTACAGTTAACATTTGTTCATTCCAGCCTGAGACCCACCTGCAAAACGCCAGCAAACAATCCTCAGTTGTGTCTCTCTGAGCTTTAGTCAAACTAATGGCCCTTGAGAGTTGGTAGACTGCCTGGATGAGAGAATCAACCAGTAAAATATGATCTGCCAAACCATCGAAGAGAGCTGAATATTTGGTGAGAAGGGGAAGAACAGCTGTGCACAAGTATCGATTGAGGGCCAGGGCCATATCAGTGGATCCTAGTTCAGCCTGAAATTAAAAGCAGAGGTTGTGTTCAAACGGGGCCACATCAACTAAGAGAAACTAAATTTGACATAGTAATAAGGCAATATGAACAACAGGAAACTTGAAGAACTTAAAACAAACAACATCTCTCCATATTTAAATGAGCACTGTGTTTTCTATACATTAAAGATATTTTACAGAAAGGCCTTAATTACAGTTCACACATTTATTTAGGTTAGAAGATTGATTATTTTTAACATTTACAGTGAGTTTAAGCTTAAGTAGGAAACAGGATGACAGGAAAAGACCGCCTGCTCTGGTGACGGGGTAATCAGTTTCTATTTAACCAGGCACTCTTCTAATACTACTTCACAAAATTGTCACGCAGAGGAAAAGAGCAACAAAACTACTCACAGTGTCAAGAGAGACAGCCGCCTGAAGATCAGGCAGAAAGCCGACATCCAAAAGGTGAAGAAGGAAACTTTGGTTCTCAATGCCATAAACTCGGTCCAGGAACAAAACCATTGCTGCCTTGTGGTCAGGGCAGAACACCGTGGATAGGTCAGGCTCCTCTAACAAACCATCTATACAACCAATGAAAAATTCTTTCAGATTATGTGCAATTTTCATGACATGAAATTGTAATTTAGTTTTATATCTACATTTGGTATCTCAAAAGAGGTTGCTTTCTACATCAGGTTCCCCAATTCCATTCTATACAGATTTAGTATTTAAATACAACAAATGAACTAAATTATAACATATAATTGAATCCATTCCTTTCAAAATAATATTATAAAGAAAGTTATAAGAGCTGTAATGTAGATCATTTCTTATTACAAACTTGGGTGGTAAGATTGTCTGATTTGGTCCACTTAACCTTTAGATACTGATGGTAGTTGAAAAGGGATGCTGATGACTCCTTTAAGATCCTGAAGAGGGATGAGTGACCTCAAAATGGCCCTGATGCGTATGGCTTCACCTTTGCCTCCTTGAATTAACTGAATAACAATTTTAAAAAGGAAACGGTTAGTTAGTCTTTTGAAGTATAACAGATTATAAACACATGAATATGCATAAATGTAACATGCAAATATAGTATGTTCACTGTGCCAGCATATATTACTTGTGTAAAATTGGACTTCCTTCTTTTTGACTTATCCTGAAAAAGATTTGGAACCAGTTGCACTGCATTCTTTTACCACACGTGTCCCTTAAGATCCCTTGTAACAAATTGGTGAAAAAAAACAAAAAAAAATAATCCTTACATAAGGCTGAAATTTTTAGACCCTTACGCTGACAGACACATGCTTAAAATCCCATTTAGGCTTTGCAGCCAGACACGATGCCCAGTGGTACATATATGTTTTCTGGTCTTAGGCTTATAGCAGGATCATTATGTACAGTAATATAGGGCTGGTATTGACTTTTTGGACGCACAGTAATATGCAAATGTCTAAATGATTTTCAAAATTACTAAACCTATTCACACATAAAGCATTATGTTTTGGGAAAAACCTACTCCTGTTCACTAAAACTTTTTATTTTGCACCCAATGTTGAAACTTGAAACATGAAACAAAAATAACTTTGCAGGGATTTAAAAAATCTTTAGTTTTATTTTTGTGTGTCATTTTTTGTTCATTGTCCACAAGAAAGTAAAAGCGTTAGAAATTAAATGAGTTGTAAATGACCTGCCTGAACACCTGCCAATATATGTGACCTGTAAATATCAGTGACAAAAAAGAAGCCTTTTTTAAAAAGGTATTCCAATGGCCTGGGCTCTGGAAAAACTCACGTGCATCTCTGGAGCGCAGCGGCCCAGCAGGTCAATAAGGGCAGAGTAGAAGGTCATGATGGCGTGACCCATGTGAATGAGATCATCATCATTATCCTGGACTCCATTTCTGTTACAAAAAATCAATCAAATCAACAAAATGTTTTTCATGACAGAAACAATTGGTCATCTTTCAAAAGAAGAATGAAGAAGAAGAACTGCTCCCACCTGATTTACTTTTTGATCTTTCAATATGTGTTAGTGTGTATCTAATACTCACAGTGTTCTGTTGGACTGATGAGAGGGCAAAGGTCCGTCCATCGAAGCATCCTCAGAGATCTTGATGGCTTCCTCCATGGCAGCCAGGAGCCCATTTCCCCCATCTCCTCTCAGTGCAGGACCAAAACACTCAGGCCGACGAATCAGCAGTCTCAACACCACATAAGCGTTCTCCTCTACACTCTCTCCTGCAGTCAGGGAGGGTGTGGGGCCGAAAGAGAAAACACTGATGACATTGTGGATTGTGTTGGCCACAGCAATATCTTTGACTTTTATTCTATATCTCCAAATTCTACCAAAACAAGCTTCTCACTAAGCCTGTGGGACAAAAGCCTAATTCACTCTGAGAAGTAAAAAGAAGGAAACTTTCATATCTGATCTGATATGGCATAACTCACAGAATGTACAGATATGAGATGAAGTGTAAATGACTGAGTGGCGTACAGCACAGAGAGCTAAAGTCTTCTGGCTTAACTGTAAACACCCTGAAGGTCATTTTGCACACATGAGGTTTGGACAGCGCAACACAATATGGAAAAATAAATCAGAGAATGAATTACTTCTTTGGCAAAAGGCAAAAGTACCTAACATAATGTGACATTTAGTGCTTTTTAACATTGCATTTTGCTCCAAGCACTGCAACAAAAATATCCCTGGTTCAACAATAATCATTTCAATGAAAACTGTTCAGAATCTATGGAATAACTTGTGCTTGTTTATCGCTTTTTTATTGCAATGGCTACAGAGCCGTGAAGCTTATTTTCTATATTAGTTGAAATGATTATTTAAATGTACCATTGCAGAAAACTGCAAAACGCAGAAAATCCAGGTAACGTTCTCCTTCCACAGGATTCCATCCAATATCAGTGTAGCCTTTTGCTACCAGCATCGGGCAGCTCTGAAGTCCACAACCAGCCAAGTACTGAACCACCTGAATATGAAATCATATTATGTCAATAAAAAACTGCTATTTGGGTATTCCTCTTTTAAAATGAGCAGGTAGTTAAGTTATTACCGGTACTTTATTGGTATCAGCTTTTGTTGCTGTATGTCATCCATCCCATAGATTTTCAAATAAGCAATTTTTAGACATATCCAAAGCAAATTAAAAATGTGCTAATGAGTTTCTCCAAAATGTTTAATCTGTTGAAGATTCTCACCTTCTCTAAGTCATCTTCCCTCAGTGCCAATGCCAGTTCATTATTATCCATCACAGAAGCTGCTGCTACATCTAAGGGAGTGGATCCACGCATGGAAGGTGAAGCTACAGGGAAAAAGCAAAAAATGATGGAAACACAAACTCAAATGCTTAATGTCAGGAATATATTTGTAACACATTACATACGATCATAAAGCCCTCAATTCAACATAAACAAGATAAAAAATAATGAGATCATTTACCCAGCCCGACACTGGCGTTTTCCAGTAAGTAGCTGAGGTGGTCGAACAGCGCTCCCTGGTTGTGACGGCTGATCCGGCAAAAGTAGCACAGAAATCGACAACAGCTGGCCACCATCTTTGGAAAGGTGATCACCTCATAGAAGCAAATTAGCATGCAATAAAGTGCATCTAAGTTTAAGAAAGCAGCTCATCCAATAAGAATGTACATATAGTAAGTGATGACACAAAGTGTCACTTCAACCATTGAAATACAGATCCATTTTAAAAAGTGTGGTCACATCTTAACATGACATCACAGAAGCCATCACAGAAGCAAGACATGCCTCTGTGATGGCTTCATTATCTGCACTACTGAATTAATATTTGATTAAATACTTACCTTTGACTCTCCTTCTCCAAGAACATTAACCATGACCTCCATCACAGTTTCATGCATTCCCAATGCCCTCATTAAGTTTGGGTGCTGATAGAAAACTTTGTTATTCATAATGTCTCTGTGTTGATACCAAAAAAGACAAAACTGTAAGAATGCTTTCCATGCCAGAGTACATACTGATGCACATGTGTTACAAAGAGTTCAGAATAAACAATAAAATATAAAAAAATATGTTGAAAGAAGCAGAGAATTAAAACATAAACAATATTTTCTTACCCAAGTCTACTAATCATCAGCCTCTCTTCCTCTTTACCCATTCGGACACTGAGAAGTGACCGGATTAGGCCTAAAGAGGACAAGAGTGCCATAGTATCCTCTACTGATGACTGGCTGATCGTATATGCCTTTGAGAGGGGTTCCTCCATCTGGCCCCCAATGCCTTGATACTGGCGATGCAGCAATGAAAAGATAGCCTTAACAAGTTCAGGGTCTTCCATCTCACTCTCTTGAGCCCAGCGCACCATCGTCTCAAAAATCTGCGATTTGAGGGATTCTGAAAGCAATGTCGAACACCAGAAGTGGTCATTTAAAGAAACACACAAATAAAAGTATCTTTACATGCAGATTTAACTCATTCAAATTGTGTCATTAAGACATTCAAGCATTATGTAAGAATGCGTATAAGGTTTCAGCCTGGACACGCAGATGCTCTTACATGCAGGTAAACATGAATAAAAAGGAACAAAGAAAACAAACTCACTGCGACTCAGGGATCTACACTCCTCCGCCTTCATTGATGTCTTTTTGAGTCCAATGACTCTCCTTACTATGTTGAGAAGTCGATCTTTTAAAGACATCTTGACATCATCATCATCCTCTGACTCACTGTCCAATTCAATGACTGCACAATGACAACAAAATCCATTTTTCTTTTGTAGCAATTATACTTAACACCTGCTTAAAAATTCAACGTTAAAAATATTCTAACCACAGTTTGCTTTGAGGAGATTGTGAAAGTCTTGAAGGAGCTGCTGGATTTCCACCGGACAGGGGCAGTTCTCTTGTGGCTCATCCTCTCTGAAGCTCAGCAGCATATTGATCTTTGGAAAGGTCAAAAATTGCAAAACAATATTTTGACAAATGCAAAAAATATCTTGTGAGCCATAATGATGCAATACATCTCAAAAGTAGGAATGTTTCAACCTTAATTTATTTATTTTGTAGTCAAAAGTCCATCCAACCTGCTCTTGAGGGGGCAGGCGGAACTCCTTGGTCTTGCGAGCAGTGAGTGCTGCGGACATGTTGAGCGCCTGCATGACCTGATTGTAGCGAAAACGTTGGTTTTCCTGTAGCTGCTGCACAAAGTTGCCAGAGAATGCAACCACGGCTTCTACCCTGTGGCGCACCTGGCAGTCACACAGGTAGGACAGCAGATGGCAGAGCTAGAAATAGAAATAAATCAAATATTCTTATTCATATTTATATCCTTATTAAAGTACTAAAAGAGGGCCTGTTGCTAAATCAAAATGATATGCAAGTTGAGGGATTGGGGAAAACAGGAAAGAGTAAAATAAATAGGTGCTGTGTCATCCACCTCCAGTTTGACAGCTTCTGGAAGCTTCATGTGAAGAAGTCCTTGTCTGATTACTTCATCTTTATTTTCTTTCCCTTGTTGTTCTTGTTCATCATCCTTAGTTTCTTCATTGTCTGCCTCCTCCTGAAGTGTTGTGCTTTTTAATGAGAACACACTTGGTTCCATCAGCCAAAGAACCTTCTCAAGGTCTTCATCCTGTAACACCTCCATAACCAAGAGGCTGTGTAATAGTCTTAATAGAGGAGCAAGCAGAAGTTCGACATTGCCTCCTGCAGGATCCCTCACAGCTTGCCCCACAGCTGAAACTCCAGCACTGAGCATCTCCACAGTCAGACTCGTCAATATGTCCAAGGGGAATTCTGGGCTATGTGCACAAGCTACTTCAGCAACACTCTCTCCTTCCATCCCATCCCAACGGACAAAACAAGGGGATGAAAAATGTATCTTTGGTTTCAGGGACGTGCACCGACTGGGGCTGGGAATTCCCTCTGCAGGAGAGCCATTAACTGAACTGAGATAAAGGGTCTGGTCTGTGGTCTGGTCAGCCATTGGAACGATGTATTCATGATTCATCATAAGACATGCTGTGGTGTGGCTGCTTAGGAAAACCTAAAGGACAAAAACAGTAAAGATTTATTCATAGATTCTCCAAAAAGCCACATTTGGCGACCTCTGTTAATTGCTGCTAAAAAGGACATTTACAGAGCAGGCACCTGAATGAGCAGCTGATAATATGCAGAGCGGAGTGGGCCGGCAAGGTGAGGATTCTGAATTGCATAAAGGAACTGCGACTGGTCAACATGACTACAGAGGGCATGGCAAACTCTGGTATTCCCAAGCGCGCATAAGGAGCAGTAGAGGAGGAGTGTATTGTGGTGAAAGGTGAAGAGGTCATCGAGTTCTGACAGTTCTAAAATGTCAACAGACCTGCGGGAATGTAATCAAAGAGAGGAAACAATGACAGTGTTTTCTCTGCTCAAAATATGACAAAAGAGTATTCATATGAAACATGGTAGGCATTTTTGTGGATGTTGTCATTCAGAGACTTTTGCCTTGTGCTCACGAATCACAGTATGCATGAAATACATCAAACATTCCATTAAATCCTGATTGTTTAACCTGCATTCATCAGGGATCTGAAGGGTCATGACTTGGAGAGGCTCATGACATTGGATTATCCAACCATGGTGTTCATCTGGCCGGTCTACCAACACATTTAATGCCTTGTCTGGTACTCTGGTCCATGACACAGGGCTCAGATGCTGGACTTGAAACCTAGGGGGGCACTGGGGAGTGGGATTTCTTCTTTGACTGCGAAGCAAACCTGATGACAGTGGCATCACATTCTGTATCAAGAGGATGACAAACACAGCACCACAGATAAATCACACTTTATCTGACATACGTTTCCATGTGTATTTGTTCTTACAAGCAGAAAAGGCTTAAGAAAGTTATTTAGATACCTTGATCCGCCCCAGTTCAAACTGAAACATGTTGCTGGTGGTGGGTTTGACAAAAACAGCTGGAAACAGCTTTGTACTTGCCTCCACCTGGTTGTAAGTGATACAGTGCTTCCCTCAGTTAAACAGTCCATGTGAAACACACATTTCTAAGTAGTTTCATTAAATGTGTTATACCAAAATATCCCTTCAGAAGGATAATTTTGCACCAGGTCAAATGAGTTTATAGCATGCCCTACTTGATAAAAAGTGGACATCTCCACTCCACTGGAAGTAAAGGTGAGCATTCCGGTAGCCGAGTCAATCAAACAGCCAATTTCCAGCCCCGTACTCCTTCGACTCTGAGACAGGCCTGTGGCCTCACCAGCACACACCATGTAACAGCTGCATCGTCTAGCACTGTGCAAAAGGATAAGAATATATTACATTTCTTACAGTCTGATTCCAATTTACAGCCCTTTGGAATTCAGCACTGAAGCCAATCAGCATGACATTAAAATTATTCCACAGAGGAGTCTGAATTTACTATATGAGGAAAAATAACAACAATAAAACTCACTGGATTTGGTGATGTAAGAGTAACAATAATAACAAGTATCTTGACAAGCATCAATAATAAACAACTGTGACTACTATTTGTAAAGAGTATAAATCTTTCAGCTAAGGCATCTTAGTACACACTAACCTTTCCTGAACTTTGCCACTGTCATCTCCGAGGGTGATGGTCACAGTGTGGGCACTTTCTGTGTCAAACGTGTCATCATATTGATGAAAATCAGAGGTCACCCAGCCGACCCACACATTGAATGGCTCCTGGCCTGGAAGAACTCTGACCGAGTAGTAATACTGGAGCAGACAAGTTAGTAAGTGTCGTGTTTATTATTTTCATCATGTGTTTCATCATTTCTATGTTACTGGTAATTGGTTAAAAATTGGTTGCAGCACACTACAAGTCCATGCGCCCTGTTAATTATTTGACTTCAACCACTCCAAGTGATCAGAGTGATATAGCCAGAGGTCTTGTCAGATTTTATAATTAGCTATGTGTAATGCAATTATCTCCTCTTAATTAGGTGTGATAATGAGAAAACCACGGCCTTACTCTGGAGCTCTGGATAAGGTGATCATGGTCATCTTTATCGACAACAACTTCTTCAAGAAGCCGAGCCGAGGAGTTGCTGCTCACTAACCCTGGTTTAGTCCTCTTCATTAAGAACCTTACAGAGAACAGGAACATGCATCAATTTCTACACAAATCAGTTAAAGAAGTAAGACACATGGTGCCTGTTCACTCCTTTTGTTTCTTTTAAAATATTTGTTCTAAATTTAAACAGTTATGACCATTTATGGCCATGATGCTATGATATTTAGTGTTTGAATGTTGTCAATTTTATGAAACATTTAATTTTAATTTAGATTCTCTACAACAAACCGTTGTTTCAGTTTGGATGTTTTGTCGTGGCTATGATCCTTATGGTTGAGCTCATCTCTTGAGCCAGAAAAGCCATGTGCTGACTTCATCAGGACTTCAAAGTCAGAGTCTGTGTCCTCTTGCTCTTTCTTTGCTGAAAAGGACAACATGCATTAATTACAGCATGGCCCTCGGGAGATTAATCAGAGCATTTCTCTCAAGGTCAGAAAGTAATCTAGAGAATGGATAATCTGGATGTCTCTGGGAGATCACACACAAGTTGCAATATTTCAACAAATAGATGAACAGTTTGTACATTCTGACTTGGGTAAAATTACACTTGTTTAATGACCTACACAAGTTCTTTTGTAAACATTTTCTTAAACCATCTCTGTGCTTCGTAATATCAGTGAAACTGAACCTGGAGTGAGAGAGTTGGAGGGCCCTGGAAGCACGCCCTCTGAAGGGCTTCTGAGAATAGCAGCACATTGAATTGGCATGCTGAGCCGATAAAAGCCCATTTCAACCCCTCCACTGTGGTTTGGCATCAAACGCTGAGACACCCTCAGGCTGGGTAAGGAATCCATTGAGCCTCTGACTTTAGTGACCTTGAATGAGATTTGAAAATTGTTTTCAGAATGAGAGTTGCAAATACACAAAGTTGCTGAAGTGGAAGATGTTCTATTCAGGGTCCCGCCTATGCTCGAAATAAATTATGAGAAAAAAATTCCGTACGGCATGATAAAGTTACCAAACTGCGGGGAAAATAAATCTTACTGACTGCTGAACCAACCTGTAAATTGTGATTATCAATTGATATGGATGTAAACTGAGGCTGTCTCCAGCTCATCCACAGAGGTAGATCTCGGGCCATATTGATAGCAAAAGGTTTATAACCCTCTTGTAGGCCGCACACTGTAAAGTATTGCAAAGAGCCAACTTCACGGCCCAAGTTCAGCCTCCCAACTTGGTTCACCCCAACACTGACCACAGGCAGCAGGCCTAGAAAGATAGTTAGAAACAAGATATTTTAGAGTTGTATCACAATTTTTTTTTAATCAACACTTTTTCAATAAAAGGATAAAATCCTAATTCATTATCACTTTAATAAAGTATCAGTACTCTATGTTTTGCTTCTCTTTACCGTCTCTGATATCAAAGTCTTTGGCAGCCAGCTCAGATCCTCTGTCATTAAACAACAGCTCTCCATTGAGCGTAACCATCATGGTGCCCTCAACCATGTCAACCAAGCATCCCACCACATCACCTCTGAACCAGGGACGTCCCAGGGGTTCTCCGCCCTGATGGTACCACTGAGCCTGAGAAAGCAACAGTGAAGAAAAGAGTCTGATGCTTTACTTCACCATTACATCAATGTAAAAATACTCTATTACAACACCAAAGGAGATAAATAAAATACGTACAGGTTTGAGGTAGAATACAAGGCCAGCTTTGGGAGATTACTGTAGTACTCCATTTTGGATACCATGGATTTTTATAAAATATATCTATTCTAAAGCCTTCATTTGTACCACAAATGAATAAATTAGTTTGCAATATTTTTGTATTTCTATAGACAAGCAAAGGAACAATGTGTGTCACACTGTGATTTTGTCTTGAATCAGTGACAATGGTGAGTGACTTTCAATGCCTCACCTCAGATCCATCAAAGACAAATGCCTGGTCGTCTGAGCCAAGCTCTTTATCAGAAGTGCAGCTTGGTCGTGCCCAACCCACTCTCATATTCCCTGTTGTCAGTATTTCATATTCAAAATACCATTTCCCTGAGGTCACGGCGTATGATTTATCTGGTCGGAACACTCTGCACTTCTCCACAGAGAAGAGGTATGGCTTCGATAATGTCGCTGTCAGTCACAGAAATGGAGCAAATGTGGTTATCTCCTAAAACAAAACCTAAATTGTACTAAGGTATATAATACAATGCTGCCAAATGTCAGTGAAATATAAGATATGAATAGTGCGACAAATCTTTTTTGTGTTACGTAATGAGTTCAGTAGTTAAGTTTAACATAATGAGAAAGTAAGCTATTGCTTCATCAAATTGACATTGTATTCCTAATGCTGTCAAAGGAATCATAAATATGATAAACTGAGCCATGATTTTTTTAATTGATAGGACTTTGAGACATACTCCGTTCCTGGTTGAGTGGCTCCAGGCTGTAGCCGAATGCCAGCAGGATACAGACAGCCACTCTGACACTCTCTCTCCCTGTTCTCCTCGTCCTTTCGTCAAGAAGCTTGTAAGGTATAAGGTGTGAACTCCGTTTTGCCTTTACATCCTAAAATCATGTCAAAGCAAGTCATAAAAGTTGATTACTGTTTGCCTTTTTAACGTTACCTAAAAATGCTTGAAGATATTATTGAGTGAAGTGACAACAATTTTACCATTGAAATACAATCCCCCCCAGAAATGTCAGCACAAAACAAACACCTGTTGGGGTCCATACGTCCATCCCTGCTTGATACGCTCTCTGACCCAGACATTATGATCATTCTCTGCCAGCACATTAACCACTTCCTCGTCAGCTGAGCTGAGAATAACTTGGCTTAAGTCTATTGGAGCTGGCCTGTAGCCACTGAGCAGTTCATACCTGAAAGAAGCCATGAAGAAAGGCTTTGGTCTGTGAAGGTCACCAAACAAAATACAATCAACCACAATACCAAATAGCTTACCTTGTGTGAAGTCTCATGTATTTGACACGTTCTTCAGCGTGGTCATCTGTCAAACTAATATGGAAACCAAGAGCCAATAAAGTCCTTGAATAGAAAAAAAGATACATTCATTAAAATAGTAGACCAAGAGTACCAAATGGCAAACGTACAATATCTGAACTCCAGAGGATGTGCTGAGAATAGTCATTTAATATTCTCCCTACAGTATATGATGCATGTACTGGAGCTCACCTGAGGGTGTCCTGGGCCATCTGAAGGTTCTGATTTCTCTCCTGCTCAGGCAGATTAGAGAAATCAACCAAACAGGGATCATGTCTTTTGCTTTCATCTCTCACCTGTAATTACAAACAAGGTCCCCTGAAGCACATAAAACAGTACCATTTTTAATTTTCCCAAAAAAGATTAAATCTGCTATTTAATCACAGATGTGACACTTACCGACCCATATGTCCATCCAAGATCAATCTTATCCTTTACCCAGAGCTCATGAATATTCTCTGCCATTTTCTCACGAATGTCCTCAAGTTGTGTTGGTAATACAACCTAGTGGGTAAAATGTATAATTTCACTATTGTGCTTTGGCACAAATATAGTCAAATGTAATGTAAGTACTTTTGTTTTTCAAATTTTACATATATACTTGAAATTGATTAGCAATTCAAATCATTTTATTTTCAATAATGAAAATACTTCTGACGGCACTAATGGTTACCTTACTGATGTCAGTTGGCGTAGGAGTGAATGTAACTGGAGTGACTGGCACGAAAGGGCCAATTAACTCCTTTTTCCCTTCTCCACAGTCCAAAACGTATTTCTGACATGGCTCTACCTTCAGTTTGAATTTTGGGAGCAGAGCTTCAGAGCAAGGGGCATAGCCTGGAGGAGGCAGAAAGCGGAACTCTCCATGCCGCCCACCAAAAAGAAAACGGACTCTAATTTTAAAGGAAAGGAAAGCAAAGGCAATCGCTTATTTTGTGAGCCATATAGAGACAAAGACAAATAGACTGTGTCTAACTTAGTTTGTCAATTGTCAAAAAATGAGATTACAAAGAAACAGCAACAGTACATTTGAAAAATCTGAAATTAAAGCCAACAGACAAGCACGCACAGCAGTTAAAAGGATTTTGTCTCCCCTGACCTTACTCCAGCTGAAAAGCTGACCACTGGATAAAGAAGTCCATTAGCAATGAAGTTCTCCAACATGCCCTGCACTGGCAGACCATTGACCCGGAATGAGATGCATGGAACAGTGAGGTCAAGACAGCAGCTAACCACATCATTATCTTTCAGCAGGTGTGGGAAGGGAGAGCTGACTTTACGGCCCACAGCGCCTGAAATTCAGCAGACAGTAATCACTGCTCAGACTTCCTGCCTCTTCATAGGATTAATAAACCCCAGCATTTAAAACAAAATTACATATATATCTGTTATTTTATGGAATGCATTTTAGTCATAGTACGATACACCTGGAGCACAAAGGTTAAAAGGAATGAGGGTAAAATTTCTGAAACATGCATCTGACCCTTCTGAGGGGCTATAATTCGTATGCTGACAATATTTAATTGCAGCATTCACAGTAATCACAATTTACAACCAGTGTTGCAACAGTACTGTTCCTACTTCCTGAACTAATCATAATGTTTCATAAACAAATCTAATTTCTGCTAAGTGCTGCTACTCAGAAAGATAATCACCATAATCTCCCCCTCGTTTCTCTCCGGGCATGTTTTCAATAACAAATAGTACTATGTTCATAGTCCTATTTTTCATCAGCACTTAATTATCAGCACCGAGAGATAATCAAGTGCTGCTGAAAAACAGGATTTATAGAATGCTAGACAGACAGACAGACAGACA